TTGTATACTGAAGAGTACACAATGCTGATGAAAGAAAACAAAGATTTGGCTGGGTGTGGTGGCTCATGTTTATAATTCCAGCACTTCGGGAGACTGAAGCAGGGGCACTGTTTGAGCCCAGGAGTTGGAGAACAGCCTGGGCAACATGGCAAGACCCCATCTCTACAAAAAATAAAGTAAAAAATATTAGCTCGGTGTAGTGGCATGCACCCGTGGTCCCAGCTACTTGAGAGGCAGAGTGGGAAGATGACTTGAGCCCAGGAGACTGAAGCTATGCCATGAACCATGTTCATGCCACTGTACTCCAGCCTGGGCGCCAGAACAAGACCTTATCTCAAAAAAAAAAAAAAAAAAGAAAAAAAAAAGAAAAAAGAAATCAGGAGTTTTAAATAAATGGAGAAATACATTGTGTTCAAAGATTGGAAGGCGTTAGTCCTTCCCAAATTGACATAGGGGTTTAATTCCTACCAAAATCTCAGCATGATCTTTTGTGGATATAGACAAAATTATTTTAACATTTGTATTGAAAAGTGAAGGAACAAGAGTAGCTGAAACAATTTTGAAAAAAGCAAACTAGGCGAAATCACTCTACCTGATTTTAAGACTTAAAGTATAGCTACAGGTATTGGTGGAAGGATGGCTACACAGATTAGTGAAACAGAATAGGAAAATAAATGAACCTAAACCTCACACCTTATGCCAAAATTAACTAGAAAATGGATGACAACCTTATGTAATATATAAAGCTGTAAAAGTTTTAGAAAAAAAAATAGAAGAAAAGCAGGATCTGTGGCTAGGCAAAGAGTTCTTATCACCAAAACCTCGACTCATAAAAGGAAAAATTGATCCACTGGGCTTCATCAAAATTAAATACTTTGCTCCATAAAAGCCCATATGAAGAATGCGAAAAGACAAGCTACGGAGTGGCAAAAAATGTCTCCAAACCACATACCTGACAACGGACTAGTATCTAAAATATACAGAGAACTCTCAAACCTCTACAGTAAAGAATAAACAATCCAATTAGAAAATGGGGCAAAAGTCACAGATATTTCAATAAAGAAGATATAAGGATGGTAAATAAGCATATGAGAAAATGCTCGACAGCAGTAACAAGTGGGGAAATGGCAATTAAAACCACAATGAGATATCACCACACACTTACCAGAATGGCTAAAACAAAAATAGTCAAAACACCAAATGCTCTTGAGGACATGGAGAAACTGGACCACTCAAACATTGCTAGTGGGAATGTAAAACGGTACAACTATTCTGAAAAACATTTTAGCAGTTTCTTAAAAAAAAAAAAAACACAAAAAACTAAACGTGCAACTACTCTATGACCTACAATTGCATCCATTGGCATTTATTGCTTAAAAAATGAAAACTGTGTTCACACAAAAACCTGTACCCGAACGTTTACAGCAACTTTACCGACAATAGGCAAAAACCAGAGACAATCTAGACATCCTCCCACAAGTTCTACACGAACTGTGGAACAATCACACATTGGACTATTCCTCCACAGTAAAAAGGAGCAAGCTATCGGTACATAAAACGACCTAGGTGAAGCTCCACAGAACCGCACTAAGTGAGAAAAGCCAATCCCAAAAGAGCCACGTACTGTGTGATTCCATTTCTACATTTTTGAAATGATGAAATAAATAGAAATGGACAACAGCTTAATAGGTGTGCCTGCAGTTAAGGAAGAGGTTGGTGGGAGAGGCAGGTGAGTTTGGCTCTAGGAGGGCAGCATGAGGGGTCCCTGTGGTGATGGGAATATTCTTCCACTTGACTGGATCGATGCCAGTATTCTGGTTGTGATGTACACGACAGTTTCACAAGATGTTACCATTAGGGGACACTGGTGAAGGGCATAATGCAGGACCTCTCCCTGTTATTTCTTACAACACTGTAAGAGATGGAGCTTCGCTCTGTTGCCTGGGCTGGAGTGCAGTGGTGTGATCTTGGCTCACGGCAACCTCTGCTTCCCGGGTTCAAGGAATTCTCCTGCCTCCGCTTCCAGAGTAGATGGGATCACAGGCATGTACCACCACACCTGGCTAATTTTTGTATTTTTAGTAGATTCGGGGTTCCACCATGTTCCACCATGTTCGCAAGGCTGGTCTCAACTCCTGACCTCAGGTGATCCACCCTTCTCTCCTTGGCCTCCCAAAGTACTCGGATTGCAGGCGGCAGCCACCATGCCCAGCTTCATAAATAATCAGCCTTCCATACACACTCATACCCCAGAGACATTGCAGTTTGAGTTCCAAACCACCACAATAAAGGAAATATCACAATTAAAGTGAGTCACACAATTTTTTTTGTTTCCCAGTGCATACAAAAGTTATGTTTATGGGAGTCTGAAGCAGGTGGGTCACTTGAGGCAAGGCGTCTGAGACCAGCCTGGGCAACATGACGAAACCCCATCTCTACAAAATACAAAAATTAGCCAGATGTGGTGGCACACACCTGTAGTCCCAGCTACTTGCGGGGCAGAGACAGAATTGCTTGAGCCCAGGAGTTTGAGGCTACAGTGAGCTATGATCATGCTATTGCACTCTAGCCTACATGACAGTGAGACTGTCTCTAAAAACAAACAAACAAAAAAAAAATAAGTTGTGTTTATACTAATGAGCATTTGAGTTTATACTAATAAATGCTATGTTTATAATACATCTATTAAGTATACAAAAGCATTATGTTTTTAAAAAAATGTATACATCTTAAAACACTTTATTTTGCTAAAACATGCTAACAATCCTCTGAGCCTTCAGCAAGATATAATCTTTTTGCTGGTGGAGGGTCTTACACCTCAATGTTGATGGCTGCTTACTGATCAGAATGGTGTTTGCTGAAGGTTAAGGTGGCTGTGACAATTTTTAAAAATAAGACAACAATGACGTTTGCCACATTGACTGACTCTTCCTTTCATGAAAGGATTTCTCTGTAGCATGTGATTTTGTTTGATAGCACTTTACCCACAGTAGAAAGTTATTCAAAATTGGAGTCAATCCCTTCAAAGTCTGCCTCTGCTTTACCAAGTTTACATAATACTCTAAATCATTTGTTGTCATTCAACCATGTTCACAGCATCCTCCCCAGGAGATTCCATCTCAGGAACTCACCTTCTTCGCTCATCCATAAGCAGCAACTCCTTGTCTGTTCCAATTTTGTTATAAGATTGTAGCAATTCAGTCACACTTGAGGTTCTACTTGTTATTATCAGGCTCTAGTTCTCTTGCTATTTCCACATCTGCAGTTACTTCCTCCATTCAAGTCTTGAACCCCTCAATCATCCATGAGGGCTGGAATCAACCTCTCCAGAACCCAGGTTAATGTTGAAATTTTAACCTCCTCCCATGAATCATAAATGTTCTCAATGACATCTAGAATGATGATCTCTTCCCAGAAAGTTTTCAGTTGACTTTGCCCAGACCCATCAGAGGAATCACTATCAATAGCTGGTAGAGCCTTATGAAGTGTATTACTCAAATAGTAAGATTTGAAAGTCGAAATTACTCCTTGATCCATGGGCTGCAGAATGGATGTTATTAGCAGACATGAAAACAACATTAATCTCCTGGTACACCTCCATCATTAGTTCTCTGATGAACAGGTACATTGTCAATAAGTAATCATATTTTTAAATGAATCTTTTTTCTTTTTCAGTAGTAAATCTCAATAATGGGCCTAAAATATTCAGTAAACCACACTATAAACAGATGTGCTACCATTCAGGCTTTGTTGTTCCATTTCTAGGGCGCAGGCAGAGTAGATGTGGCATAATTCTTAAGGGCTCTAGGATTTTCAGAATGTTAAATGAGCACTAGCTTCAACTTAAAGTCGCTCCAAACAAGAGAGTCAGCCTGTCCTTTGAAGCTGTGAAGCCAAGCATTGACTTCTCCTCTCTAGCTATGAAAAGTACTAGATGGCATCTTCTTCCAATAGGAGGTTATTTCATCTACATTGAAAATGTGTTGTTTAGTGTATCCACCTTCATCAGTTACCTTAGCTAGATCTTCTGGTTAACTTGCTGTAGCTTGCATCAGCACCTGCTGCTTCACCTTGCACTTTCATGCTACAGAGATGGCTTCTTTCCTTAAACCTCATGAACCAACCTCTGCTAGCTTCAAACTCTTCTTCTACAGCTTTCTCACCTCCCTCTGCCTTCATAGAATTGAACGAAGTTAGAGCTCTGCTCTGCAATAGGCTCTGATTTAAGGAATGTGGTGGCTGATTTGATCTTCTATCCAAACTACAGAAACTTTCTCCATATGAACAATAAAGCTGTTTCATTTTCTTATCATTCATGTGTTCACTAGAGTAGTGCTTTTAATTTCCTTTATGAACTTTTCCTTTACATGCAAAACTTGGCCAAATGACCCAAGAGACCTAGGTGTCAGTCTGTCTCAGCTTTCTACATGCCTTCCTCACTAAGTTAAACATTTCTAGTTTTTAAATTTAACGTGAGAGACATGCCACTATTCCTCTCACTTGAACACATAGATGCCATTGTAGGGTTATTAACTGGCCTAATCTCAATATTGCTGTGTCTCAAGGAATAGGGTAGCCCAAAGAGAAGAAGAGAGATAGGAGAATGGCTGATTGGTGGAATAGTCAGAACCCATACAATTATCAGTTAAGTTCACCATATGGATGTGGTTCATGGCACCCCAAAACAATTACAGTAGTAACATCAAGATCACTGCTCACAAATCAGCATATTATCTATAGTTTTTTTAAAAAAAAGGCTTGCAATATTGTGAGAGTTACGAAAATGTGACACAGGCACACAAGGTGAGCACACGCTCTTGGGAAAATGGTGCCAACAGACTGGCTTGAAACAGGGTTGCCACAACCTTCAATCTGTAAAAAAGAAAACTCAGTATCTGTGAAGTGCAATAAAACAAGGTATGCCTGTACTCAAGAGTGACATTTCATTAAATTCTATCTTCCATAGAAAGTACAGTTTTCCTTCAAATCTTAGAACAAACGATAAACCAAACATTCAGATATTTACTTAAGATTCCCTCTACAGCATCGTGCTGAGCAAATTTTATGCCTGAGATTTTAATATCAGCACCGGTGCAGTCCACAAAAGTGTCCCCTTTGCCCCTCTTTTCTATCACAATGTCATCTGGTAGGCCCTATCATAAGGAAGAGAGAGCAAGAACACTCAAGATGGGTGAGGAAAAACATCTAAACATGAACACTCTAGAACACGTTTCTCTAGTTCAAATGTCTGCAGGTGATAATAACACCAGTCAACCATGTTGCATTTAAATAAAATATATCTCCCCACATATCCTGTTTAATTTAAACCAGGGTATCCAACTTTTAATAACTCCTCTCTGACTAGTCCCTGTATCAGGAAGACTACCCTATCAACTATCCCACATCAGCTCAGCACTAAATTCACTTACAAAAGTGCTACAAAAAATAAATAATGTTCGAGACTAGTCCAGGCAACATAGTCAGACTCCATCTCTACAAAAAAACAAAAAAAATTCATCAGGCATGGTGGCATGCACCAATCACTCACCTCACAAGGAGGCTAAGGTGGGAGGGTCACTTGACCCCAGAATTTTAAGGCTGCAGTAAGCTATGATCATGCCATTGCACGGCAGCCTTCATTCTTGGAGACAGAATGAGACCCCATCTCAAATAATAATAATAAGGACTTATGGTTGAGTCAAAGAACTTTAAAGCACTCACCCTTAGAAGTTTGTTTCTAACTCTAACATTCTATGATTCTAATATAAATTACATTTGAATAAACCTAAGCAGTTCTCAAGATGATCTAATTTTAATATTCTCTTAAACAGTTGGCTTAAAATCTGACAAACTGACTAGTTACTAGAAAAAAAAAAACAGTCCACCTCATTAGCAAATAAAAAGCATTAGATCAAGGCTGGGTGCAGTGGCTCATGCCTGTAATCCCAGCACTTTGGGAGGCTAAGGTCGGGGGATCACTTGAGGTCAGGAGGTCGAGGGCAACCTGGCCAACATGGTGAAACTCTACCTTTACTAAAAATACAAAAATTAGCTGTGTATGGCATGTGCCTGTAATCCCAGCTTCTCAGGAGGCTGAGGTGGGAGAATTGCTTGAACCTGGGAGGCGTAGATTGCAGTGAGCCAAGATCATGCCACTGCACTCCAGCCTGGGTGACGGAGTGAAACTCCATCTCAAAAATAAAGCATCAGATCTCAGGTGCAGTGGCTCACGCCTATAATCCCAGCACTTTCGGAGACCAAGGCAGGCAGATCACTTGAGGTCAGGAGTTTCAGACCAGCCTGGCCAACATGGAGAAAACCTGTCTCTACTAAAACTACAAAATTAGCCAGGCATGATGGCAGACACCAGTAATCCCAGCAACTCAGGAGGCTGAGCCAGGAGAATCGCTTGAACCCAGGAGGCAGAGGTTGCAATGAGCTGAGATCACACCACTCCACTCCATCTGGCGTGACAGAGCAGACTCTGTCTCAAAAAAAGCAAAAACAAAAAACCCATCACATTGGTATTAATCTTGCTCAAACCATTAATGCAAGTCAAACACCTGAGTGGGCTTACAAAAAACTGGAGTATCAGAAAACTAAAGAATTCACTTGACTTCCATTATAAAACAGAAGCACATAGACAAAGCTGTAAGAAATAACTCTCATTGTCTAAAGACGAGTCTGAGTAAATGAAAGCAGCAGCTGTTTTTAACAAGCAAAGCCACTCACTGTATCTACACTGGAAGAGGACAAAGGCTTTGGGGGCCCTAGAGAATGCAAGGGGACTCCACACACTGGAATGCTACCAGGGGTGGACTCTGGATGCCTGAATTATGAATAATTTTGTTTCTATTTTATGTATCTGCCTGTGCTTTGCAAATTTTCTACAATAACCATTGCTTTCTATCATCAGAAAAATTAAAAGTACAAAAAGAATTGCATATTGAGAAAAAAGATTTTGACACAAATTTTTATATAATGATGCATTTCTTTCCACTTAAAACATAAAACCATCACCTAAAGGAATGGATTTTCAAAACAAGAAAGAAAAACCCTATTGTAAGTACTACTGACACCCTGCACACAGTAGGTACTCAATATGTATCTCTTGTTATACAGGCTAACTATAGATCACTATCAGATGAGCTTGAATCTAACTCATGAACACTAGAGATACCATCTGATTCCCCAATTCTCCGACCTATACTGTTAGTCAATATACAGCCATTTTTATATCTAATCTATCAGCATTCTATATGTCTGTTTACAACACTCTAGCAATTACATTAAAATTTCCTCACCCATCTAGGAGGAATTCTTATCTACCTTACAAACTATAGTATCAGTGTATTTGGCATACAAACTATGCCAAAAAAAGTGTTTTTATCACAGTGATTTATCTTGCAGATGTGTTATTTATATACACATATATATTATACATCAAAAATTGGAGAGTAGAAAGAACAAAAATTACACACATAAAACAAAAAAGGGGGTAAGACGATGTACTAGGAACAAGAGAAAACTAAACTTCCAGCCTCGCTTCCGTTTAGAAGTTTTGACAAGATAAAGAGCATAGCTTAAGCAGTTTCTGAACAGCTGCACAAGTCCCAAAATGATATATGATTTTTTGCATTACAAGCTTCACTGCTAACTTGAAGCTATTTTGGTAAATAGTTGAACAGGTGTAACTAAATTTGACACATTATGAAAATATATAGGACCAAGATGAACAATTGTAAAGTAACCTAAATTTAGAAATCACTCTAAATGAACAATAAGATTATAACTGTCAAAAAGTTATTATTATTATTTTTTTTAGACAGAGTCTTGCTCTGTCGCCCAGGCTGGAGCATAGTGGTATCATCTTGACTCATTACAACCTTCTCCTCCCAGGTTCAAACGATTCCTCTGCCTCAGCCTCCCGAGTAGCTGGGATTACAGGGTGCAACAACATGCCCGACTAATTTTTGTATTTTTAGTACAGACGGGGTTTCACCATGTTAGCCAGACTGGTCTCTAACTCCTGGCCTCAAGTGATCTGCCCACCTTGGCCTCCCAAAGTGCTGGGATTACAGGCATGAGCCACTGCACCTAGCCCAAAGAGTTATTTTTAATGGAATCTTTCAACATTAATCTTTTCTAAAGTATACTTTGGACAAGACACAAAGTGTAGCATTTGTGACATTCAGCAAGCATTTAGAGAATTAAGATAATTGGTACCAATTTCAAGTTAAGTGCCCTTCATTATACCTCTCACAAAAACAAGCTAAGTGTAAAGCAAAAAACAAAAAGCTATGTAGTAATATATCTGTAACATCTATGAGATAAGAGCAAGGAACAAATTTTTAAAATATTAAAAATTTTTTAAATATTGCTAGAATTTTTTTTTAATTCTAAAAATTAGATTTCCTTTCCATAAACCACCTACAATCTGGAAAGTATGTTTCTTCCTAATGGTCTTTTTTCTATATGAGCCTGTGAATATCCCCCCAACATATACACTGCTACAAAGAACTACAACTCAAGTTGCTGAAACACTGGGTCAACCTCTTTCAAGCTTTCCCTGTCCTTAATGTTTCAAGGTAGCTAACTAGAAATCAAATGGGTTCAAATCATATTCTTGGAGTTTCAACAAGATCGGTGATTTATTGTTTACTTAAACATTTCAGGTGTGAGAGTTTGGCTGTGTGTCTTCCTCACTTCCACCAATGGAGTGAGCAATGGAGAACGTGCCATGTACCACATAATGGCCAGGACAAACAGTAACAGTGTCACCTTCGAAGCAGACATTTATAGCAGACAGTGGATCACTACGGAACTAGAAAACAATAAGAATACATTTGTAAATATACACTCCCAAAAAACTAACCTGAGTATTAGTCTAGGTGCCTTCATGTCTAACTTTGAAAATGGAAGCCAAAAACCGCATATTGAAGCATCTCCTTTGATAGTGCACTGACCTAACACATGCCTGGTAAGTGACTACTGAGGACTAAAGGCAGGACTGCCGCTACTTCCCACTGTACAGAAAACCATCTTGGGAAAGCTCCTGTAAATACTTTGTGGGATTTGTGAAAATCTGTGGTGAATGAGAAGAAAAAAAAAGCCACCTGGAGCGAGAAACTCTGTTTACCTGAATTTCTCTTCCTTCCTCACCAGGTTCCTGGCAAAGCCCGTCCATGAGCAGGGACTGCAGGAGACCAGCCACCATAGTGGAGGAGACCACGTGAGTGATCTTCTGACCGCTGGAATGGACACCCTTTGCTGGGATATTAGAATTCTTCTGATAACCAAACACATACCTTAAAAAAACAAAACAGTCCTATCAATAAGACAACAAGTAAGAAAAGATGCTAAGAATTACAAAGACACACATACCTCAACATAGGATTCTCAATGAGTTTCAGCTTTTGTTTCAACTGTTTCATTTCTGAATAAAAGTTTAATCCTTCCACCACAGAGATATTTTCCTGCTGGGAATCAGAGTTACAATTTGACAAACTGCTTCTCAGATTTAAAAATTTCCTGTAACTCTCCTCACATTGAGACAACAGATAGCGGTAGTCAACATGAAGCCCTGATGAAACTTGGTCTTCAAGAATGTTATAATGCCTGAAAGTTTAAAAGCAAATTGAAATCCGCTGCCTTTCAGGCACATTTTCCTGTCATTAAAACAGCCCACTTAGCACTCCAAGAGCCAGTAAGAAAAGTGTTTTATAGTATATAACTCAGGTGCATGTTAAGTCTTTCTGAAGAGCACTCTAATAATAATAAGTGGAAGCTGTTGGAAGTTTAGAGCACCATTTCTGTAAGGTCACTAATTTTTCTTCTTTTGAGGAGTTGTTTGCTTTTTTTCTTGGATCCAAGCATTTGTGATTTAGAAAAAGTGAAAGTTCATGTTGCACAATTTGCAATTACTATTTGATAAGAAATTATTTTCTTCTCATATATTAGATTCAAAAGCTTAGTAAGAAGGCTGCAGGGTGCAATTTTGGAGAGGGAGTAGGGAGAGCAGTACCTCAAATAGTTTCACAACAATGTTTAAGATTACTATATTTTTCATGGATCTGAATATGACTTTGAACATTTTTTAAAGGTTACTATATTTATAGGATCAAAAAGTAGAAATGACTCAATCTAGTCCTTCCTTCTGTTTAAAGCACTATGGCACAAAATTATGCTGAATATTCCCTAAGGAAGACTATTAAAGAATTTCAAAAAATAAGCCCTTGAGATTCTGAGGGGGAGAAAAAGGTGCCATTACTAAACTAGAGAGTTACTGAAACAAAATAACCTTGTACTGGACAACCATACTGGCATTTCAAACGTATTAATTTATAAACTTTCTCAAATATAAAAACAGAACACAGAGTATTTCTAGATGCAATAAAATAATGTGAAAATGTGCAATCAAGTTAACATATAAAATAATGGGTTTAAAAATAAAGTAAAATAGGCCAGGCACAGTGGCTCACACCTGTAATCCCAGCACTTTGGGTGGCCAAGGCAGGCAGCTGACTTGAGCCCAGGAGTCTGAGGCCAGCCTGGGCCAACATGGTAAAACCCTGTCACAAAAATACAAAAATGAGCCTGGCGTGGTGGCATGCACTTGTAGTCTCAGCTACTTGGGAGGCTGAGCTGGGAGGATGGCTTGAGCCCCAGGGGGAGATCTAATTATGCTACTGTACTCCATACTCCAGCCTGGGCGACAGGGCAAGACCCTGTCTCAAAAAACAAACAAACAAACAGATGTTCAGGGCCCCATCCAGACCAATTAAATGAGTATCTGGACATAGAGGGGTATTTTTTAAGTTCCCTGGGGATGGTAATGTGTAGCCAAGAGTGAGAACTATTGCCTTAAATGATGGTTTTTTTTGTTTTTGTTTTTTTTTGGTCATGCTTTGAATAAGATAGGGAAAAACAAAAACAAGATAGAACCATATCTTAAACAAACTTTTACAACAGATATGAACACTTAAACATAACTTTTCCCACTTTTCAAGTAAGTGAATTAGGCAAAGCTTGAAAAGCAAGGATTTTGTCTGGTTAATCCAAAAGAACGAGTGAACAGCTGTGAAAGAAAAGGAAAAACAAAGTTTTAAAATTTTAAAAATAAAAAAAGGAAATTGAGGATGAAACCGTGGTCTGCTAAGTTGTGAAGTTCTGCTGTGGAAAGAAAGCACTGAAAATGAAACCAGCCATCTCCTAATCATTGCAGACTGGGCTGTTAGTCCCTTTACCCTCTAGTGGAGTCTTTTGTCGTCGTTGTAATGAACTTAAGCATGCCTCTACTCAATTATAAAAACCTCTGCTGGCTCACTTTTAGCCCTCAAAAAGAAGTCCTGAACGTGGTACTATAAATAGATTCATAATCTTGCCATATTGCACTTCTCCTGCCTCAGAGTCATTGTTCATAAACTCTCAATTTCACAAGCTCTTTCAAACCTCCATGTAACTTGTTAGTCAAGCTGCCAGAAGTGCCTTCCACCTTTTCCACGTGGTAAACTTATAGTTCTATTCCATGACTCAGCTCCAATGTCATCCTCACCAGTACCATGCCAAGCATTTACACATCATTCCTATCTGCACCTCCCCCAGTGTTGATTCTTTCAAGCCAGAAACATGTAAGTCAGCCTTGACTTCTCTCACCTTATTCACATCTTCCCATCTCCGATATTCACTTGACCACCAAGTCCCAGCCATTCTACTTTCTCAGTAAGCCTCCATCTGTCCTCTCCATATCCCCACTCTAGTCCTCTCTCTTGCCTCTTAACTGGTCTCTCTATTCCAACTCCCTCCATTTGAATGTTTTTTATACAGAAGCCACAATGAACCCTTGAAAACACAAAGCAGCATTTTAGGGGACTGAGGTGGGAGGACTGCTTGAGTCCAGGAGTTCGAGACCAGCTTGGGCAACACAAGGAGACCCCCATTTCTACGGAAAAATTTTATTACAAAATTAGCAGGGTGGCCGGGCGCGAAGGTTCATGCCTGAAATCTCAGCACTTTGGGAGGCTGAGACGGGAGGATCACGAGGTCAGGAGATTGAGACCATCCTGGCTAACATGGTGAAATCCTGTCTCTACTAAGAATACAAACAATTAGTCAGGCGTGGTGGCAGGCACCTGTAGTCCCAGCTGCTCAGGAGGCTGAGGCAGGAGAATGGCATGAACCCAGGAGGCGCAGCTTGCAGTGAGCCAAGATCGTGCCACTGCAATCCAGCCTGGGCGACAGAACAAGACTCCGTCTCAGGAAAAAAAAAAAAAAAAAAAATTAGCTGGGCAGTGGTGGCACATGCCTATAATCCCAGCTGATCCAGAGGCTGAGGCAAGAGGATGACTTGAGCCCCGCAGTTCGAGCCTGCATTGAACCATAACTGCACCACTGCACTCCAGCCTGGGCAACAGAATAAGACCCTGTTTCCAAAAACATTAAAAACACAAAACACAAAACTAGTCATATTTACCCAAGAATAAAAACCCTTCAGTGGCTTCCCACTGCTCTTAAAGACAAAAATCACTAACCAGCTAACAAAGCCCCACACTGTCTGGCCCCTGCTAACCTCTCTAATCTCGTTTCCTAGGTCTCGCCCAGCACTGTCTGTGTTCCAGCCATGCTGGCCTTTCAGCTCCTTCAACACACTAAGCGCCTAAATCTTTTCCCTTCCCTGCCCCTGCCTCCCCTTTCACCCAGCTAACCCAAGTTCAAATGTCATTATTCCAGGAAATAACCCTAGAACTGCAACTTGACCTAACCTTAGGACACTATAATTCTTCACAGCACTGACTGCTATTTCCAACCATGCAGACATCTGTACGTGATTATTTCATCAAGGCTCATCTCCCCCCTTTAGACTGACAGCTCCCTGATGATGGCGTGTCTCATGCACCAGACATACCCCACCCTTGACTAAGGACCTGGTACTCAAATACTTATTGAATCAATGAACAAATGAAATCCCTTACAATTTGACCTTCTCTGGGCACTGACCCAAATCTCAGCCCTCAAAATGCAGTGCACATTTAACCAGGTTCCTCTTCAAATAATACTACCAAATAACATTCCAGATACTTACTTTTCTATGAACTTCTATGCCAATAGAGATGAGTTCCCTGATTCCTAATTTCCTAAACTTATCAGGCATCCCTTTATCTTTAAATGCTTCAAATGACAGATTTTTTTAAAATGAGAAAAACAGAAGGGAGTTATTTGGGTTCTGGACAGAAACCGGTTCTTTAGATTCATTCTGCTTGGCCCAATACTCAACATCTAGGATTAAGTGTTCTTGCATACAATTGGAAACTGTCCTTAAGATGTTGGCAGCAGGGCCTGAAACATTCTGCTTCTTTGCAGAGCATTTGAGTTAAGCTCAGCAAAACCAAGTTAATTCACCAACAGTATAGAAAACGGAAGTACTTTTTATACTACAAAACACCAAGCAATATTATTTACATTATGGTCATTATATATTACTCAGTATTTTAGTTCCTAAAGGAATATAAGTCTATTTTTAAATAGCTAAAAGCAAGCCTTCTTTGGTGAATATACTTACCTACAGAAGATCCAAAATAACATCTGTATAGGAAACTATACAATAAAAGATTGATCTGAAAAATTGTTTAAATCATACCCACTGATCCAGGTATGGGTTTTCTTTCCCATGGAAGGGACAAGGGGTGCGCTTGTGCAGTGGAAATAACTATGGCAAAAAATGCTGACAGGTGTGAATACATCCCCTAAGGATCCTAGAGGCAGCCTAAGAAAACACTTGCTTTGAGCAGACATACGCTTAAAAAAAAAGTGTATTCGTCTTTTAGCAGTACACACAGCATGGTATATAACTTACTTCACTGTCTTTCTCTTCTTCTACTTTCTGTACTCTTGTATTGAAATATACCAACCATTAGCCTTAACATCTACAACTTTTTTTTTTTTAAATTTATTTATTATTATTATACTTTAAGTTGTAGGGTACATGTGCATAACGTGCAGGTTTGTTACATATGTATACTTGTGCCATGTTGGCGTGCTGCACCCATCAACTCGTCATTTACATCAGGTATAACTCCCAATGCAATCCCTCCCCCCTCCCCATGATAGGCCCCTGTGTGTGATGTTCCCCTTCCTGAGTCCAAGTGATCTCATTGTTCAGTTCCCACCTAATGAGTGAGAACATGCGGTGTTTGGTTTTCTGTTCTTGCGATAGTTTGCTAAGAATGATGGTTTCCAGCTGCATCCATGTCCCTACAAAGGACACAAACTCATCCTTTTTGATGGCTGCATAGTATTCCATGGTGTATATGTGCCACATTTTCTTAATCCAGTCTGTCACTGATGGACATTTGGGTTGATTCCAAGTCTTTGCTATTGTGAATAGTGCTGCAATAAACATACGTGTGCATGTGTCTTTATAGCAGCATAATTTATAATCCTTTGGGTATATACCCAGTAATGGGATGGCTGGGTCATATGGTACATCTAGTTCTAGATCCTTGAGGAATCGCCATACTGTTTTCCATAATGGTTGAACTAGTTTACAATCCCACCAACAGTGTAAAAGTGTTCCTATTTCTCCACATCCTCTCCAGCACCTGTTGTTTCCTGACTTTTTA